AAAAAAAAAAAAGGGGCCAAAATTTTAAGCTTTTTTTTTTTTTTTTTTTTTTTTTTTTTTTTGAGGGACGGAGCATCGCTCTGTCGCCCCAAGCTGGCGAGTGCAGTGGCGTGATCCTGAGCTTCATGCAAGCTCCACCTCCTTGGCTTCACGCCCCATTCTCTGCCTCAGCCTCCCGAGTAGCTGGAACTACAGGCGCCTCCGGGCCACTGCGCCCGGGCTCATGTTTTGTATTTTTAGTAGAAGACGGGGGTTCACCATGGTCTCGATCCTTTCCTGACCTTGCTTTTTTTTTTGATCCGCCGCCTCGCGTCTCCCAAAGTGCTGGGATGTACAGGCGTGAGGCCACCGCGCCGTCATCCAAATAGTTTTAAGAAGCAGGTGGAATCAGGCTGCCGGATTGGAGTGTTTGTTTTTTAGAAACTGGTTGCTTTCTGCGATTTAAAAAAATAAAAATACTGTGCAAAGTGAACATAAAACTGGCTGGTATCTTTTTTTTTTTTTTTTGTTTTTTTTTGAGATGGAGTCTGGCTCTGTCGCCCAGGCTGGAGTGCAGTGGCAGGATCTCAGCTCACTGCAACCTCCACCTCCCAGGTTTAAGCAATTCTCTGCCTCAGCCTCCAGAGTAGCTGGAATTACAGGCATCTGCCAGCATGCCTGGCTAATTTTGTATTTTTGGTAGAGACAGGGTTTCGCCTTGTTGGTCAGGCTGGTCTCAAAGTCCTGACCACAGGTGATCCACCACCTCATGCTCCCACAGTACTGGGATTACAGGCATGAGCCACCGTGCCCAGCCGTCTTTTTTTTCTTTTTTTGAGATGGAGTCTCGCTATGTTGCCCAGGCTGGAGTGCGTGGTGCGATCTCGGCTCACTGCAACCTCTGCCTCCTGGGTTCAAGCGATTCTCCTGCCTCATCCTCCCAAGTAGCTGGGACTACAGGCACTGGCCACCACGCCCAGCTAATTTCTTTGTATTTTTAGTAGAGACGGGGTTTCACCGTGTTGGACAGGATGGTCTCCATCTCTTGACCTGGTGATTCGCCTGCCTCGGCCTCCCAAAGTGCTGGGATTACAGGCGTGAGCCACCGTGCCTGGCCTGGGCCATCTTAAGTCTAAGGATGGTCAGTATGCTAAAGTTTATGAATGCATTGTATATAATAAGATTATTTAGATTATTTGTGAAAATGATATTCATGTTTACTTTCCATACTCTCAAACTATAGTGATATTCACAGCCAGGCACAGTGGTTCACACCTGTAATCCCAGCACTTTGGGAGGCTGAGGTGGGCGGATCACCTGAAGGTCAGAAGTTCGAGACCAGCCTGGCCAACATGGTGAAAACCCATCTCTACTGAAAGTACAAAAATTAGCGGGGCGTGGTGTCACACACCCGTGGTCCCAGCTACTCAGGAGGCTGAGGCAGGAGAATTGCTTGAATCTGGGAGGCAGAGGTTGCAGTGAGCCGAAGTGGAAGCCACTGCCCTTTAGCCTGGGCGACAGAGTGAGACTCCATCTCAAAAAAAAAAAAAAAAAGAAAAAATAATAATCCCTTTTCCCTTCTACCTCCTTAACTATAGTGGGCCTTGACAAGTGCTTTGGTTTAAACCTCAACTTTATCCTTCCGTATACTGACCTTAAAGTTGCGTTAGCTTTTTTGTCTAGCTCTATTCTGGGTACAACGAAAGTAAAAACCTATTGGAGTGGGGTTGCTGTGAGATTAAGTGAGACAGAATCTAAGTGCTTTGCATAGACTTTTGTACAATGTCTGATGAAAGCCGTTTATTTGTATAATGTGTACATAATATAGTAATTGCTGTTATTCCTATTAAGTGACAATTTCCTAGTCACTCAGTCATGAAACTTCGAAAGTCACGCATTGGTACACAGTTGCCTTGCTCTTTCTTCTTTATTTATTTATTTATTTATTATTATTTTTAGTTCTTGTTATGAGACTGGTCCTCGCTCTGTCGCAGGTGGAGTGCAATGGCAAATCTCGGCTCTCTGCAAGCTCCACCCTCCCCGGGTTCACACCATTCTCATGACTCCCAGGTTCCCGAGTAGTCTGGACCTACAGGTGCCCACCAGCACGCCCGGGTAAAAGTTTTTGTAATTTTAGTAAGAGACGGTTTTCACCGTGTTAGTCCAGATGAATTCCTGATCTCCTGACTTCGTGATCCACCCGCCTGGCCTCCCAAAAGTTGCTGGGATAACAGGCGTGAAGCTCAACCACGCTCCTGCCTTATTTCTATTTTTTGAGACGGAGTGGTCATCTTCGCGCCAGTGCTGGAGTGCAGTGGGGCAACATCTCCGGCTCCACTCCAGCCGTCCACACTCCTGGGTTTCAGGTGATTCTTCTGCCTCACTTCCCGAGTAGCTGGGACTACATGGTGGCCCACCCCAGAGCCCGGCTAATTTTTTGTTTTTCAAGTTATGATGAGGTTTTCCACCATGTGGTTCAGTGGTCTCCAACTCTGACCTTGTGATTCCACTCCGCCTCAGCCTTCGAAAGTTGCCTTGGATTTAGGCATGAGCGCTGCGCCTGGCCACATTACTTTTTTAAACAACGTTATAGAGACAAATTTCATTAGAAGCATAAAGAGGGTTTTTTTTTTTTAGTATTTTCACCAGATTTGTTATCCCTCCCACAATCTGAATTTTGTAGACTTTTGTCTCCCCCTCAAAGGAAAACCAGTAGCAGTCTGCTCCCATTTCTTCATACCCCCCAGCCAACGAATTCTACTCTCTGGTCCTATGGATATTCTATTCTGACATTCTATGTAAATGAGGTCATACACGATTTTTTATGACCTTTTTGTGTCCGACCTTCTTTCTTTCGTAACGTTTTCAAGTGCCAGCCTGTTTGTCACATCTATAAGCTTTCATTCTTTTTTATTGCCAAATATTCTATTCTAAGGATATATCCCATTTATTTATCCATTCATAAGTTGATGGAACTTATGATGGTTTTCACTTTTTGATTTTTAAGAGTAATGCAGTTATGAACATTCATGTACAAGTTTTTGTGTAGACATATGTTTTCATTTTTCTTGGGTATGTACCTAGGAGAACTGTTGGATTACGTGGTAACTATGTTTAACTTCCCGAGGTGCTGTCACACTGTTCCACAGTAGCTGTACCATTTTACACGCCCACCAGCAATGTATGGGGGTTCTAATCCCTACACATCCTTGCCGACACTTGTTACTGTCTGTCTTACTTTTCACAGCCATCTTAGTGAGTGAGAAGGGGTGTTTTGTAGTTTTGATTTGCATTTTTCTAATTACTAATGATGTTGAGCGGTTTTCATATGCTTATTGGTTATTTGTATATCTTCTGTGGAGAAATGTCTCTTCAAATCCTTTATCTATTTTTCAGTTGGGTTATGTATCTTTTTATTATTGAGTCATAAGAGTTCTTTAGGTATTCTAGATGCAAGTCACTCATTAGTCACATGATCTGCAAATAGTTTCTCCCATTCTGTGGGTTGTCTGTTCACTTTCTTGATGGTATCATTTACACCTTGTGCTACTGCTGTATCTTCTTGTTGACCAGTTCTGTCAGTCTCATCAATGCCACCCCTTTTCCATACGCACTGTTACTTTTTTTTTTTTTTGAGACATAGTTTCGCTCTTGTTGTCCAGGCTAGAGTGCAGTGGCATGATCTTGGCTCACTGCAACCTCCGCCTCCCAGGTTCAAGCAATTCTCCTGCCTCAGCCTCCCGAGTAGCTGGGACTACAGGTGCCCACCACCACGCCTGGCTAATTCTTTGTATTTTTAGTAGAGACAGGGTTTCACCATGTTGGCCAGGCTGGTCTGGGACTCCTGAAATCTTGAGTGAACTACCCGCCTCAGCCTCCCAAAGTGCTGGGATTACAGGTGTGAGCCACCGTGCCCGGCCCCACTGTTACTTTTATTATTACCTAGACTATACTTGTTGAAATCTTATAATTAACTTCTGCTTCAGACTTTCTCCTGCTTTAGTCCTTGAGCAGATCAGCCTTCCTTAACCATGCCTCACAACATGTCACTT